CCATGCTGGGCCTATTACTGTTTATCAGCCATACTGCCGTTTAAACGACACGATTACAGCAAACATAAACGCTGAATAAATTGGAAAAAAAATTACAAAGAAATGGCTTGATGTAGGAAAAAGGCCTGGATAATTGTAGTGTTTACATAAGAACGACTGACTATTGCATCCATACTCAGCCCTCTGTAGTTTTAAAATTTTCATTCACTTTTATATCTACATCCCAGAAAGTCCTAAGCCCCAAAATAATCCTTAATAGAGATCTACAACTGTTTTGATATTTAATATTTTTGTATTAGTGGAAAAGGGAGTTCATAGTTAAGGATAAAAGTGAAATTATCAAAACATCTTTTTAGATATTGGGTTACCTTATCTTATGTTGCCACCATTCTGCCTCCTTATATGAAAATTAGAAACTAGTTAGTGTTTTGCTGTTATTAACAGTACGATAAAAAAAAAGGCCTAGTTTTGGGTAGGTTTCAAAATTATGTGCATTTTTAGGCCAAACACCTATCACTACTAGTTGTACTATCCACGCTATTCATTGTTAAAATGTTATGAGTCTGGGAATAGTTACACTTACTGGGAGACTGCTGATCTGATTTAGAACTGAATAAAAATATATCTATTATATATGTAATTTATTCAGTAATGCTGCCACAGGTGTCGTTCGGCACTGGCACACGGGGATCGAAACCCCCAGTTGGTGTCTTGAAAAATCATAATAGAAAACCATTGTCGATATCTTACTGAAACGCCGAAAATACCTACGCCTATCGGTCCGAGTTCTGACACCTAGCAACGTCTCTGAATGTTGCACTTACTGTTGACTTGTGTATGTAGTACAAAGTGATGGAAGTCAATCACTTTTGATAAAGTGAGGGATCTAGGATTTCACATTAACGGCATAGCCAGGTGGTTAGGGCGCTCTACTCGCAATCTGAGGGTCGCGGGTTCGAATCCCCGTCCCACCAAACATTCTCGCTCTTTCAGCTGTGTGGGCTTTATAATGTCAAATCCCCAGGAGTTGGCGGTGGGTGGTGAATTAGGGACGGCTAGCACAGATATCACTCGTGTAGCTTTCGCGAAAATCAATACAAATAAACAAATAAATTTCACATTAAACACAGCCGTGGATTCAGCCAACAATAAAATGTTTTTATGCGTCCAAACTTTTATGAGCCTTCAATGACACCCTAGTATAGTGGAACAGTTAATTAAATATTTGTATATATTTAGGTTTTGAAAGTTGTGTGACTGACTGGTCTAGTAGCACTTATCTGGTGTTGTAAATAATATTTGTGGTATGTGTACGGATCGCCCCGCAGTGGCACAGCGGTATGTCTGCGGACTTACAACGCTAGAATCCGGGTTTCGATACCCGTGGTGGACAGAGCACAGATAGCCCATTGTGTAGCTTTGTGTTTAATTACAAAACAAACAAATGTGTACGGATCTTAGTAAGTTTTAATTTAGCGATATACCTAATTCTTTGGTGTTTCATCCAAACTTTTATACTACATGATATAGAATACAAGTGCTTTTACTCGTAGCAGTTGGTAAATTTAATACTTCTTCGTCCATGCAATATGGTTTCTAAAATTAGGTTGACGTGATAGTATCACGTGTTGGATAGACCTTTATAGGTTCGAATCAACGATTGGTCACTACATACGGTATTTACTCTCAACTGTGAGCTCGTTATGAAGTCTGAGAACCAATCTCTGTTGGATACCTTCGTTGCTAGCGGTGGTTTCGACTCTTAATCCAGGAACGT